GGAGGTGGTTGTGATGACGCGATAGTTCTCGCCGCGAGTTCCCGGGTCCCGGCGGGCCCTGGATCGGCTACGGTGGCGGGAGGGTCTCCCTAGCCCCACCCCCTCCTCGCCGCTCCCTCCCCCTTGGGCTGGGACGTGCCGGACTGTCAGTGCGCGGCTCCGGTGGAAATTGTTACTGCTCCCGGACCTGTGCTTCCTTGGGGGCTGGGGCTGCGGATTATTCATCGTCATAACTGTTGTTCAAGGATGTGCAGTGAGCGAATACAACCGTCTCGTCCCTAATCCTCCAACTTTTTTCCCCCCGTGTTACCTTTCTTTATTCTGCGATCAATCCCTGCAGTTCCTCACTCTCCCAGTTCCTGTCGGCCTGGCCTTGGGGTCTTGCATATTCACCGCAGGACACTCAATATTTGTTGACTGAAAACTACAGGATCCCCATTCTCCTGGTCTTTTGTTTCTACTCCCTGCAGCCGCCGTGAACCACGAAGGGAAACGCATCTCCTTCACAGAGAAAACTAAATCATAAGAAAGGAGCGAGATGGCATCGTGTCAAAATCATAGACTCGTTTTACAAAACTTGTTTAAATTATTATTCCTTAAAAGAACCATAATCCTGTTCCTGAAACATATTAAGGAAGGGGAGAAAAAGCTATCCATGCACGCTGAGGAGCTTGAAAAGAAAAGCAAAAAGCAGGCAAAACCCAGGTGCTCAGACATTAAGTTCATTAGGTCTGAAATGGGGTCCAGGGAATCTGATTTTTGTAACAGCTGTTTCTGATAATGAGCCAGTTTAGGAACATGACAGAGTAGCCAGCCTGACGCAGAAGGCATATCTCCATGTCACGGGGAGTTTACTGCCAGTACAGACAGCGGCTTTAGTTTTATTGCTGCTTGTCAGAGCAAATCCCCCTGTTGGGTTTCACTAATGGGCGTAAACCTCAGGGGGCCCAGGACATCAATCCATGAGCCAGCGGCACCTGAAGCAGTTATTGGTGGCTGTCTCCACATCCTGCCCGGAGTGTCTTTTCTAATAAGGTTTCCTCCCCCAACTTCTATTTCCCATTTTTGTCCCTCTTCTCTTTTTTTTTCACCTTTAAAATTTTTTATTTTCTTTTGGAGGCTCACCTTCACGTAGGTGTTTAATACATTTTTAAAAATCAATGCATGGTTGAACTTACTGAAGACTTTAAAAATATCTGTCCATTGCATTATATCTTAGCACACCCCTAGAAGGGACACAAAATGTCACCTGCCATATCAATAAACAGAAGATGTTGCAGCCAACAAGCCTTCAGCCACTACAGCCCCCCACCCCGTGCACGCAGAGGGGGTTCAGGATGGAGAAGAGCAGGGTACTGGCCCTAGAGAGCGAAGGTACACATCAAAGAAATGATTTCAGTGAGCCCAGACTCTTGCATCTTCCCATACATAGAAAAGCACTAAATTCCTTAACTCGAGGTGTCTGGTTTTCTTTAACAGTGATCTTTTGATGTTCTGACTACCTGGTTTTGGTTGCAGGAACTGTATATTTTGGCTCCTCCCTTATCTCTTCGGAGCAGTCCTCAGAGCTGTCTAAAAGGCTGCCTCCCTGACTTTGAGTTCTCAGAAAATCCGTGGAATAAAATGTAATTCTCAGCTTTTAGATTGTGCGGTTTTTTTGTTTTTTGTTTTTTGTTTTTTTCAGTTGACAGAAGCCAGCCACTGGGAGAATATTTCAAGATGGCAAGTTCAACCTCAGAAACACTGGGAACTATAATCCTTCCTGGCTCTTCACGATAACCTTAAACTCTTACCTGTCATGAGAGTCCCCCACCCCCCAGCCCTCTCTCTTAATAAAAGTAAGTCTGCAGCATTAGGATCCACTTGGAAGAGCCCTGTGGACTAACTGCAGGGTTGCACTGGGGTCTGTATTCCCTGGGCTGGGCAGGGAAGAAACCCTGCCCAGGACGGGGGCCTGGAAAGGGTGAGTCATGCCTAAGTCCATTGTCCATTGTGGCATCTTTTTCTATTGGGGGAGTGCCTTCGGCTCAAATACCTTTCTTTCCCAGAAGAGCTAGTTAAATGGTTAACAGAGTGCTTTAAGTACTTTCGGACTGGAGAAATGCATGATGAAGGAAAACTTCTCTGGGTCTCGGGCCTCACAAAAAGGCCACCGCCTCTGAGGTGGGGGGTGGGGGGAGGTAAGGTTCAGGCAGTATTGCATCAGTGCTCAAAAGCACAGGGACAGGGAAGAAGGGGAGGAAAAAAAGACAGGACTCCAGAAAACTGCTCGAACCCTAAGGAGGTTGGGTGTGGTTAAGCGTTTATCTCCCATTTCTCCCAAACATGACTTGGAGTGGACTGCTCTCATCACTGGTCTGCACGCACCACTTCCCACCTGTGGAATCCACAAGAGAGGGTGGGACCTGGCCATCCAGCAGCTAACATTGAACATGCCATGGTTGGAAGGCTGTACAGAAAGCCTGGACTCCCAAGACCACAGGGATGTTGCATGACCTGAGCAGGTGCTTCAGATCTTGCGGGATCAGAAAAATGGGAAGATCAGACTGCCAGGAGGCCCAGTCTGAAAGGGGGCCTCATGCTGGATGGTGGTTCCCAGGGACTCCTGGAGGGAGAGGTCAGACCATAGAGGCTGCAAGCAGTTGCCTAAAATAAACGTCACCTTTTTCAGCCTTTTGCCCAGAGCTGGCTTTACCCAGAATTTGTTTACCATCCTGTGACATCCTTATTCTTCAGTACCTAACATCACAAGACAAATATCAAGCAAGCTAGGAGAGAGGGAGGGGAAGAGGGAGGGAGGGATGGAGGGAGAGGGAGGGAGGGAGGGGGAGACGGATTGATTCCTGGGTATTTCCTCAGCGACTGTGGTGCTCTACTGCCATCTGCTGGATAGAGGCGGTACAGCATGGTTTCTGGAAAGCAAAGCCAATTACCAACCTGCAGGTTTGAAAAGTGCTGGGGATGCGGCTAGTGAGTGATTTTGCAGATCAGACTTTGCAAGGGCATGTCCCTCAGTCCGATACTCTCTACCCTTCATTCCTATCACTCCATGGTCTCCGGAATCGCTTATCTAAAAAGAGTGCCGGTCAAACATTTTGATCTTTGCAAAGTAGGGAAAAAGAAGCCTCCACAGTGATTTCCAATCAGACCCTGGAGCAGATTTTGGACCCACAGGAAATCTTCATTTGACACAAAACCACATAATTTGGGTTTAGTCTTTATTTTAGTCTTGCAGTGAGCTCCTGCCAGGGGGGTTGAAAAAACTTGTTTCTGCTGCTTTTTCTTCTCTTAAGTCAAACTCATCCTGTGATTTTAGCTGATTCAGTCAGAATTCCCTTCCCTTTGAAAAAGCCTGTCACACATGACCTCACAGACCCAGAGCTTCCTAAGGAGAGCTCCTTGGTTTTGCTCATTCCTGTTTTCTTAGCTTCCATCTCAGTGCCTGGCACTTCATAGTAAATAAACAGTCGTAAAATGACAGACCAAGTAAGTGAACAAATGATGACTTGGAAATCACCTGGTAAAGAATTTTTCAAACTACCAGTGGATCTGCATTACTCAGTCTTAAGATCAACTTAATGATTGTGGCAATGACCAGAATTAAAAAACAAAGAAATACAATATAAATTATCTAGATGCATCCTATGTTGAATGGGTAAGAATAATACAGTGAAAAAAAAATTCAAGATATATACATACATTCCCATTGGTATTGTGAGTATTATTGTGGTCAGAGTTGAAAAACTTGGAAAGTGATTGACATAACCCAGACCCTCATTTCACTGATGAGAAGTCTCCAGACCAAAAGAGATTAAGAAACCATTAGTTAATGACTGGTTACCAACTGAGCATTTCTGACACTCAACCTCAGTCCTCACGCAGCTGGGAAAGATGCCCCTTCTTCGGTATATGAGAGATCGTTGATCTTAGCACCTTCTGCCCTACCCAGGCTCCTTGCAAGACGGGGAAAGAGAAGAGTTAGAGTGACGTAGCAGTAATATTGACTTCAGGTTTAGATTCCAAACATGGATTACAAATTAATTCAGGTAAATGGCACTCTTGAATACGGGGAAATGCCTTTGATTTCTCCTCTATTGTTGAGCATCTCAACCCACACTTCCTTCTCTCCTCTCACATATGCTGCATGGAACAGAATGCATGCAGCATGAAACAGAAAGTGAAACGCCAGGAGTCCTGAGAGCCTGTTCACGTCCTCACTGTGTGATGAATATTTGTGCAAGCTTAGACAACTTACCAACCTGTGTTTCTGGGTTTTTTTTCACCTCTAAAATGAGAAGTCTGCACCCAAATTAATGAACACTAATTGCCTTGAAAAGTTAGTGAAATTTATAGGTCCTGCCTCCCCCCAGGGCACATACTCACAAGTGCAAATTTTAGTTATGATTTTACAGAGTTAGTGAGTGAGCCCCACTGGGTCCAGGGTCTAGAGCTGTCCCCTCTCTGAAATCTTATGGATTCACATCATAGCTCCGTACAGACAGAACGTGTTGGTTGACATAGACTGAAGGAAGCTCTTTGGACGGGTGACCCCTTTTTTTTTTAATTTGCCAAAAAATGAATTTCAAGGCGGAGGGGAGAGAAAGAGTGAGGTGGAAGGGGAACCAATAGATTAAAAGAGACTTAAATAACAAGTCAACCAACTGCAATGCGTGGGTCCTGTTGAGATCCTGATTCAAACAAGTACACTTTAAAAA